GAAGTGGAGATGACATCTTACGTGCTCCTTGCCTATCTTACTGTCCAGCCTGCCCCATCTTCAGGGGACCTCTCCAAGGCATCACGCATTGTGAAGTGGATTACCAAGCAGCAAAACCCCCATGGTGGTTTCTCCTCCACTCAGGTCTGTGGAGACGCTCTAGGAGGAAATATAAATGTATTAATATGTATGAATTGACTAGTACATTAATGAATGAATGAATAATTGAATGGTTTGCATTTCTAATTCACACCCTCTCCATCCCTCTGTCACCAGCCCTATTTTTTTCTGTGTAGACTACTGTTATGTCTTTTATACACTCTCATATCTTCTGTCCTTAAGCGGACCCCCCCAACAGTAGGTCAATTTCCCAAAGCAATGTTTTCATGAAATTACTTCCCTTTGAAAGGAAATCTTGTTTTTACCTGAAGCCTAAAAGTATTGGATATCTGACCTCAAATATGTCCTCTACCCAGTAAATATGAATGCACCAATCTAATTTGGTAAAGACCTTTGAAGTTTCTCGAGTTGCCTCACTGTCATTTTCATGTCGTCACATGGAACATTCCTCACCCTGGCACTTCTGGATGCCTCTCTACTGTCTCTATAAACCCTTCTCATTATTCAGAGACAATCCTCTCTTACTATTCTAGTCCACAGTTTCCTCTTCCTTCTCTGAATTTTCATGACAAATATTGTTACATAATTTATAAGTAATTGAAGTAACCTCCCTTTGTATCAAGTATTTAAGTCTTATTTCCACATGTATATGGTAAACTACCTGTACGAAGAAACTTTTTATTTCCTGCAAAAGTACCTAGAATAGTTCATCATTAATAACTAGATCTGAACTGAAACGAAATTGAGATAATGGACTATGCTTATGACTAAGAAATTCTGAAAGCAGATAGTGTCACTCATTATAATATACATCTCATGTGATTTTGCTGCCTTCCTCTCCTATGATTTCTGCATCTATCTTTTGTTTTTTAGGACACAGTGGTCGCTCTCCAAGCCCTCTCCAAATATGGAGCAGCAACTTTCACTAAAAATGAGAAAGCAGCTTTGGTCACTGTCAAATCTTCAGATGCTTTCTCCAAAGAATTCCAAGTAGATGATGCCAACCGTCTGCTGCTGCAGGAGGTCAGGTTACCAGAGATTCCAGGGGAATACAACACCACGGTCTCAGGGTCAGGATGTGTGTACCTTCAGGT